ATTTAGAAACCTTGGCCATACAATGGTTAAATATAGCTAGATTACATAGTTTAATACTAAAACACAACTATTTTCACAGAAGTTTTAGTGAGAATTATAGGAATAATTTCAATAAAAGATAAAGCATTCGATTAGAGCTAAGCTGACACGTTAAATAGGTTACCCTATGGAAGAGAATCAACCGGAATATTGATAAGAATTAGCTTTATTTTACAATTATTTACATAAATTTAAAAAACTAATACAGCTTACGAAGCGTAAACAATATATTTGATCATTTTACACGTGGACATGCATAACTTAATTTTCTTATGAATGTATAGAGTTGAAACAACCTTAGTATAAATTATTGATAGAAAATTTTATAACATATAGTTGTAGATTAAACTTACCATTTTTTAATTTGAATAAAAGGTTTTTAATTTGGAGAAAAAAAGGCACCCTAAGCCTGAACAAAATTTACTGTATGCCACTTCCAAAAAATGCGATGAAAACGAGTTGGGTTGCAGTGGCAGTCAACAAAAAACTATATTTTCATTTTATTTTTTTAGAACAGAAATAAACTAAGTAAAAATTTGTAATTGACTTTATTAACAATTTTTAACATAATATTTGATTGAATTAGTTGAAATAAATTTAAAATTAAATTCTTAAAGTTCAGGTAAAGCGAATACTTGAAACTATAAACCTTCAAGAAGAAAAAAAGTTTCCTAACAGAAATAAGCAGACGGAAGCATTTCAAAAAATGCTAAATTCTGTATATTTTGTTGTTATTGCTTGGATTCAAAATGACACTGGTTACATTAAACTAATTAATATAACCTAAAGTCTTCATATTTCTAAAATTTCATATGATGGTATCTTAAAAATTATAATTTTCTCTCTTCGTTAGATAGTTTTAATTTTGTTAAAATGTTTGTTTCACAGAAATCTGAGTCTGATCCAAATAAGATGCTGAATCAAGCTGCTCTTGAAGCAATGCATTCAGCTGTATACATAGAGGATTATCTTGATTTTGTGGAAAATATTCCTGATGACATTCAAAGAAACTTAACGCAGTTACGAGAGCTTGATTTAAAATACCAAGGTAAAGATTATCTTTTTAATATCAAACTTTTTGAGGGCTGACAGTGTTTTTTATTTTTTTTATTTTCGATACTTAATTATAATCGAACATATTTTTCATAAACTGAAGGCTTAATTACATACTTGAAAATTTGAAATCATGTTAATTCCAGTCGTTTATCTTTAATTATTATATATTAGTTGTATAATGTATTTAATGTTGTTAATAAATCAACGCTTCAATAACAATATTAAAACGTTAAGTGAAAAAAATTAATTCTTGTAAACTTAGGTTTAAAGCAGTAATGTTTTAATTTGGATTATTAGTAGGAATACAAAATTATGACTTGTTAAGCATGTTTTCGTAACATTTCATTCACTTTACTTCAGAAAAAAAAAATGATTGCTAATTAATAATTGTAGTCTTATATTTATAATTTTTTGTAACTATTTTCCTTCATGTTTGGTATCATTATTAATTTGCAGCTTAGCAATTTTTATTTCAATTTCTTTTTTCTTCTTAAATTGAACCCATTTTCCACACAAATTCAAATATAAAAACCTATTTCTTTCATTTTGCAAATACTTTTATGGTAAAATTATCATTTTGCAAATACTCTTTATAACAAAGCATAATTTAATAACATGACTACAATATAAAATCAAATAAATTACTTTAATAATCGGTTTATCTTCTTTGGTAACACAACTAATAAATAAACCATATGGGATTGATACATTAATTTGCTACAAGCTAGTAAACAAATTTAATGAAATTTATTGAAGTTCTACAGCCGGTCCATTTTCTGAAAACAAAACTGTATCAATTTTTGTTGTAAGGATATGGGAGAAGCCTCAATAGATTGGCAAACCATTGATGCAATTTTCCATGCTGAACAAACTAGTATTTATAAAAATATTTATTATGCCTACATTTGAAATTCTTTTCTTCTGAATTATTTTTTTAAACCTAAGAATTGAAAGCAGAATATAATAACTATATAATGCTAGATATATTGAAGTTATACAAAAATTTTGTAAACATCATAAAAGGTAAATGTGGTAGATTACTAGAATAGTATGGATTAAAAAAAAAAAAAATTCATTTAGAGGAAAATATCTGAAAAGTGTTAGAAGACTTTAAAAAAAAACAATGGTCAGATGAAGTTTAATTACATCATAACATGAATTCATGAGAGTTATAAATTATAGAATAAAAGCTAAGCTTTCAGAAGTTACTATGAAATGTGCTATGAGGGAGGCCAAGATTCTTCATGGGTTATAGTAAGAATTGACATAGTTTAAATAAATTTTTTTTTTACTCAACTATGGTTTTCCATCAAGAATAGTCTTATGCTGTATAATTTATAAATACATTCTTGTAGTTATTATTATTTTTTTTTTAAATATCTGATATCATTCAATATTAAGGGTTTTTCCTTAGAAATAATGAGATGGGGCAATGTATTGTATTATTGTATCTAATGGCCAAGATAGACTAAAAAAAAAGAAAGAGAGAGGTAGGATAACAAGAAGTGACTAAGCATGGAAAAAAACCGGCCCGGAACTTTAAGCAGTTTAATAAACATATCTCAATTATAATAATTTAGTTTATTTGATTGCAGAGGAGTTTAAGGCACATTAAACATGTTGTTAGGATACATAAATAATGAAGAAAGACTTCTTTGTTAAGAATAATTTAGAAAAATTGATTTTTTTTTCTGTTTCTTGATCTAAATAATTTATTTTTTACTTGTTATCTAAATAAGAAATTAGGCCTTTGTCTTTAAAAATTCATGAAGGTATCGAGTTTTAATTGAAACAATTATAATTTCAATCATTCAGGTACTATTTTGTTTCATTCAGGTACTAGTTTTGTTTGAATATTTTTAATCATTTTAAGTTAGAAATATAAATGACTTCAATTATTATATTCTTTTTAATTACTAACTGTTTATTATTTTATCTGAGTTTTTGATTTATAAAATTCTGTTAATTAAAAAAAAATCCATTTTAGTGCTAAGAAATAATTGAGTAAGACTATTGCATCAAAACTAGAAATGAATTGAACGTGCGAAATTGTTTTTTTTTTTTTTTTCATTGTAACATTTCTTAGTAACTTGTAATTTAAAAAAAATTACCATTATGACAGATTTATTCTGAATTACATTTTTTATATAACTGTAAAAGAACCTGCCTTTAAGAGTAATTGATTATTTATTTTTAAAAGAAATTTTATTGTAACATTTTTTATTGAATTACAATAAAATTTCTTTGAATGCAAAATCACCATCAAAAAGATAAATACTAATTGTAATACTTTGATTTTTCTTGTCTTACATGTGATTTAAACTAATAAAGATGAATAAGAACCTAAAAATAAAAGAGTTGTGTAAAATATGAAATCTGTGTTTAATGTTCACTTTGCTGTCTCATGTAACTGTAAATAAATCTATCTATAAGAGTAATTTATAATTAATTTTTAAAAGAAATTTGTAATATTTTTTTTAAACTCTTCTTTGGGATTCTACAAAAACTCGAAAATTTCTAGGAGCCAGATCCTCAGAAATATTAAATTTACGGTTTAAATAATAAAATAGGTTAAATTTTAATGAAGTTGCTAGTAATCATTTTTTAGGTGCAACAGTTTTTAACATTTGTGGACTCTTATTTTCAATTAAATGTCCGTTTATTTCAAACGAATTACAATAATATAATTTTTTCATCTAAATTATGTTTTTTTTTTAAACAATGCAATTTATTTAATTGAATACAAGTTTAATTATTTGTCAATTGTTATCCATGTAGTTATGTGAAAACACTTCAATAAATTAATTGAATTTTTTTTTTTTAATATTACAGAAAAATAATATTTTTATCTGATTTGAAGCTATATATTCTTATTTTTTAGAAATTCTTCAAGATCTGGATAATTTCCAAAATACACTGACAAGAGATTTAGATCCTATCAGCAGAAAGAGAACTTTACTTCAAGTTCAGAGAGCTCTTATTCAAACTCAAGATTTAGGAGATAAGAAACTACAAATTGTTCAAGTAATCCAAGATATAATTGACAACAAAGGGAGACAATTAGAAATAGATCGCATGAAATTAGGTATGTTCAATGCTTACAAATTTCTGGTTATAAAATTTATAAGTGATAAAAGGATTTATGATGTTTAGGCAATGGTGTTAATAGTGAAAGCAATATTAATTTAATAGTTCTTGAAAATAATTGATTTGCAATAAAGTAAAATGACTTGTAAAAAGCTTTATTTTGGTTTTTAAAACTATTTTTCCCCCCGGACAAATTGGACTGTCAGTGAGAAGCTTTAGTCACACAGCTTTTTAATTGTAAAAAATGGTAGCTTAATTTTTAAAGTAGATTGTTATATGCAGAAGAAGTAAAGAGCTAGGTAATATACTTATTCAAGACATAATGAAAAATTTTTTTTTGTGGAACCTCTGATGTAATTCATCAGTTATCATAGTTTATAATCAATTTCAAACATAAATAGGAAGTATTTAATTAAACTTAGTTTGGATGAAAAGAAAAAATGAAACTTTAGTGAATTAATCATGAAAAAGTTAATATTATAAAACTTAAAATTTACTGTATAGTAAATCTTAAGTCATGTTTAAAACTTTAATATATATTCAAGTTTATTCAAATTGTTTGCACAACAGCAGAAAAGAAACAGAATTATTTGTAATTAAAATATTTAGAAATAAATATACTTATACAGTACAGAACCCGTTATCCGGAAATCAGAAAACCAAAAAACCGGAACGAATTTCGATAAATTTTCCCGCCATTTTNCTGTTTATTATTTTATCTGAGTTTTTGATTTATAAAATTCTTTTAATTAAAAAAAATCATTTTTTAAAAAACAATTTTAGTGCTGCTGAGAAATAATTGAGTAAGACTATTGCATCAAAACTAGGAATGAATTGAAAGTGCCAAATTTTTTTTCTCATTGCTGCTGGAATATTTCTTAGTAACTTGTAATTTAAAAAAATTACCATTATGACAGGTTTATTCTGAATTACATTTTCTAAATAACTGTAAATGAACCTGCCTTTAAGAGTAATTGATTATTTATTTTTAAGAGAAATTTTATCGTAACATTTTTTTATTGAATTACAATAAAATTTCTTTGAATGCAAAATCACCATCCAAAAGATAAATAGTACTAATTGTAATACTTTGATTTTTCTGGTCTTACATGTGATTTAAACTAATAAAGATGAATAAGAACTAAAAAATAAAGAGTGGTGTAAAATATAAAATCTGTGTTTAATGTTAACGTTGCTGTCTCATGTAACTGTAAATAAAATCTATCTCTAAGAGTAATTTATAATTAATTTTTAAAAGAAATTTGATCGTAATATTTCTTTTTACACTCTTCTTTGGGAGTCTACAAAAACTCCAAAATTTCTAAGAGCCTGATCCTTAAAAATATTAATATTTACAGTTTAAATAATAAAATAGGTTAAATTTTTTAGTAATCATTTTTTAGGTGCAACATTTTTTAACATTTGTAGACTCTTATTTTCAATTAAATGTCAGTTTATTTCAAACGAATTACAATAATATAATTTTTTCATCTAAATTATGTTTTTTTTTTTAAACAATGCAATTTATTTAATTGAATACAAGTTTAATTATTTGTCACTTGTTATCCATGTAGTTACGTAAAAACACTTTAAAACGAATTTTTTTTTTTTTTTTTTAATATCACAAAAATAATATTTTTATTTGATTTATTTATTTGATATTCTTATTTTTTAGAAATTCTTCAAGATCTGGATAATTTCCAAAATACATTGACAAGAGATTTAGATCCTATCAGCAGAAAGAGAACTTTACTTCAAGTTCAGAGAGCTCTTATTCAAACTCAAGATTTAGGAGATAAGAAACTACAAATTGTTCAAGTAATCCAAGATATAATTGATAACAAAGGGAGACAATTAGAAATAGATCGCATGAAATTAGGTATGTGCGTACTTAAAAATTTTTTCTCTTAACTTCACTAGTTATAAAATTTATAAGTGAAACAAGGATTTATGATGTTTAGGCAATGGTGTTAAGACTACTGAAGGCAATATTAATTTAATAGTTCTTGAAAAGAAATGATTTGCAATAAAGTAAAAAGCTTTATTTTGGTTTTAAAACTATTTTTTCCCTGGACAAATTGGACTGTCAGTGATTAGCTTTAGTCACACAGCTTTTTAAGTGTAAAAATTAGTAGTTTAATTTTTCAAATAGATTTTTATATGCATAAAAAATAAAGAGCTAGGCAGTATACTTATTCAAGAGTTCATAATGAAAAAATTTTTTTCTGAGGCAATTCATCAGTTATCATAGTTTATTATCAATTTCAAACAGAAATAGGAAGTATTCAACGAAACTTATTTTTGATGAAAAGGAAAAAAGAAATGTTTGAGAATTAATCATGAAAAAGTCAATATTATAAAACTTTTTAAATTTACTGTATAGTCATGTTTAAAACTTTAATATATATTAAAATTGTTCGCACAACAGCAGAAAAGAAAGAAGAAACAAAATTATTTGTAATAAATATGCTTATATAACACAGGACAAAAAATATTGAAATGAATCAATAAATTCTATATAATTTGGATGATTTTTAGTTAACATAAGCATCAATTTCTTAAAATTTTCTTCATTAAAGATGGACTTTAGAGTCAAGAGAGTTATTTGAGAAAAATATCCTGTAAATAGTTCAATTTTTCTAAAAATAAAACCACTTACAATTTTATTTACTTAGTGTCTATGAAATATAGATAGATGGCTTATAATATTTAGGAATTATTTAAATTTTCAGCAATTTAATTATTTTTAATTCGATGATAAAAGTTTAAACTTATTGCTGAAAGAAAAAAAAAAGTTTAACTTATCTTTTTTCTTCATCTCTCATACTAAGGGATGTAAATTTTATTCATCAAGTGATAAATTAATATTTTGGATTATTTATATTTTTTCTGATTCATTGTAAATTGCACAAGCTTTTTAGGTTCCTTAGAGCATTTTAATGAATAAAATAAAAAATACTCTTTAAAAAAATTTTTGAATTTTCAAAATTCTCAGAAACAGGAGGTGCAAAAAATCAATAACCTTATATTTTCCATGCCTAAAGCAGGTTTTACAAATGTGCCGAAAATCATTAAAATCTTAATTCTGTGATATTAAAAATGTTTTTATTTTTATTTTATTGATTTATTTGATGAACCCTAGCTTATTTTTCCAATCTTAACTATTATTTATGATAATCTTAATTTAAATTTAGATTTGGGACGAGAAAATGAAGCTCAGAACGACAATACAAAGAATGAACCTCCAGAAAGGCCGACCAAAAGATCTCGTCGACAACGTCACACCGATTTATCGTTACGTGATGATTCTATACATGAGCGTCAAGAGAAAGAAGTTGCTCCTGCTCCCAGTACAAGTAAAACCAAGAAAAAGAAGAAGAGAAAAACAAAAGTTGAAAAAGAGCCTGAAGCCCCCACTTTAGAGCCTCCAATAGATCCTGATGAGCCTACTTATTGCCTGTGTGATCAAGTGTCATATGGTGAAATGATAGGGTGTGACAATGAGGACTGTGAAAGAGAATGGTTTCATTTCTCGTGTGTTGGATTAACAACAAAACCCAAGGGGAAATGGTATTGTCCTACTTGTCGAGGTGACAGAAGCAATCAAATGAAACCAAAAAACTTATAATTTGTTGTTCATATTTTCTTTTAATTTTATTGTATTATTTTTACAAATTAAAGGAAAATTTCTCTAATATTTTTCAATTTTCAGGATCAAAGTTCAATATTATGTTATCATTCAAAATTAAATAATATTTTTTTCAATTACGATCACTGATAATGTATATGAAGTACTAAAAGTATTGCATAATATTATATGTTCATTATTGAAAAGAATAAAATTAATGAATAATTTTTAAAATGCTTAAATTTCACTACATATCTGAAGTATTTTTTTGTTATTTACAAGTTTAGCAATCGGTTAAAATTATGTTAGCTATTAAAAAAAAATTTCTTTTATGTTAAATTTTTCACTTGTATAAAATTCTTTTTTAAAATAATTTGTTCAGAAATGACTTTTGCATATATTTTAACGTGATTTATTTATGCTTTTATTGACATATTTAAAAGCGCCTCATAGTTCTTGCCACTATAGAGAGTCAAGTGTTAATTATTTTTTTCCTTTTAGGTGCTTAATATTATCTTTGTTATTCTGTTCTATCAGTTGTACCTGCTGTAAGCAAAAGGTTAAGTCATAATAAGCATTATTAAAAAGAGACCTTCAACACAGGTGGTTGAAAATACTGTTTTTTAAATACACTTTTTGTTAATTGTCTTATAATTTTCAGTAGTCAAATTTAAAAAGCCAAAGTGCATACAAATTATTTACAAAAATTAAAATGAAAAAGTTCAGACATTGTATATTAAAGAAGCGTTAAAAATAACTTACGATGCCAGTTAGTTTATAATATATGTTTTAAGTGCTAAGTTCGCAGGTGATGTGATTATGAAGATTTAATCTGTGACCGCAAAAATAAATTTTTTGATCGATATATTTTTGTTTAAAAAAAAAGTATTTTATATGACTTTTAATTTGACATATGTTTCATCTTAAAGATGAGCTTCTAAGCTGAAAGCAAAAATTATAAGTTATTTAACCATATGGAATAATTTGCTAACTAGCATGGAATTATGCATCATCTAATCTTTTTTTTAGATTTTATGTTTCTATAATGAAAGAAATCTTGTAAGAATTTATATATACTTTTCTGTTGTTTTTATGTAAAGTTATTGCTGATATGTCTTTGACAAAATAAAAGTTATTGAAACTTTTAAATGAAAATTGTTATCTGTGTAAATTTATTTTTGAAGATAATAAAATAAAATTAGCAGGGTCATGCATAAAGTTAGCTCATTTAAATTTCTTGATTTTTTTTTTATATAAACAATTAGTTTATTACAATGGGATAAATTTTATATAGTGTTCATAGATATTCTTCAGGCTGCTGTTTTTAGAGTTTTATTTTGTCAATTATAAGGTTTACAGTGCATTGAAAGTTTTTTTTAATTTTATTAAAAAAAAATATGAATAGAACATATGTTTCAATATAAATTAATTAGTTACACACTTGATGCTATTTAAATGACAAATTGTGGCCTTGTCTTTAAGATTCTGATCAGCAGACCCTGAATAAATATCACAATTTTATTTCTTCGATGATTAGATTGTCCCAATAAATAAGCATTAAGCATTGATGAAAGCAATTTTTAAGCATTGATGAAAGTTAAATAAATAATATTAAATTTAATCATAGTTTTGACAGCTATCATTAAATTATCATTAATCAACATTTTTTTCCAACTCTGGTCGTTCAAGTTATTTTTCTTAGTAACACAGCCTGCCTATACAAATTAAAAATAGTCTAGGCATGTCAAAAAATCTGTCAAAGTTAGGCATTATAAATGCTTATGAATTTTTGTTAAATCCTTTTTTAATTAATCTTACAGATTCTACTATTTAAACAACACGATACCAACTAGTATGGGTTAGTTTACAAAGTTTAAAGAAATAAATCAATATTAAGTCTTAAATTTTTTCTCGTTGCTAGATTTATCATTTCAAAATTATACATTCATGTTAAAAATGCTTTTTCGTTTTTTCCCACTTTTTCAATGATTTAATAATAGGTAATTAAAAAGCAAGAATTAGTAAAAAAAAATTTTTTTTTCTAATATTTTTTTTAAAAACGAAATACTTGCGTGTGGCATTATTGAACATAGTTTGAAAACAGGTGTTTGAAATCTTTTTTTTAAAAAATAAAATAGACATTAAGGGGTCCAAACTTTTGATTGCTTTCCTGGCTAAACTATTGGGACAATATTTCTCAAATTGCCACTACCCCTTATGTTTAGAGGCGACAAATCTGTTTTTTTAAAAAAAAAAAAAAAAACTATTTCAGAAAAAGTGCATTTTTGGGCCTGATTCTGTATCTTAAATTATTGTTTGCCCCAGCTAATTACGATACTTGATATCACCCTTACGAACCTTTAAGAATGAGTTATAGTACGCGAAAATCTGATCATTAGATCAAAAATTATTTAGGGTGATCCGTTTTTCATTTTGTGCACTGTACATGGTTCTGTAAATGTTAAGTTGAGAATCAGAGGTATATAAAATAAAGCAACAAGGACTTTAAAAAAAATTGTTTAATTATTATTTTTTTTTATAGATTTAAGATACTTTTTTATTCTTACTGAATATTTATTAGATTTTACTACTTAAAAGGCTTAAACCAATACAATTTAAAGAATTAACCATACTGCTTTAACTTGCTGCTTTTCATTCTGTTGAAAATGAAGAGCACTCAGTCTTATAATTTTTTTTCAGTGGCTAATGGCTATTTCAACCATTATTTCACAATATGCCCTTAAATTGTTTAGGTTCTTAATTCTGAAAATAATAATAATTTTGAAAGCTAGAGTCAGTTTAAATATATTTTTTTCGATATATTGATCTAAAATTGGTATATCTCATCCAAAAAGTCAATTCTTAAAATGTGAGGCAAGTATTTAAGCAATTCTCAAGTAAGTAATGGGACTAAAACTAAAAATATTGGTTTTTAACTGTTATGGATATTTAAGTTCTCTTTTTATTTCCAAAGTAACAAATATTTTCATATTGAAATTTTAATACGAAGCAAATTAGGATTAAAACGTTTTATATTCTACAACCAAATTTTTTCTTCTACAGTTAACACAGATTACTTTTAAATATATATACTACAGCTTTGTTAATATAGCATAAGTTTCATCAAAATTAATATTTTCACTGAGTTTAATATAAATTTTCCCCCCAACTAGATAAACAACCAAAATTTGATGTGTTTTTTGCAAATATATTTTAAATGCACATTGTTGTTTGTTTACTAAGACATAAATAGCATTAAATAATGCTGTGCATACAATCGAAGAGAATGAAGCATTATGGTGAAAGGCTACACTTTTTATGAAAAGTGAAATTTTTGAATCAAACTGTTTCTTAGTAAATGGTTTTAGATAGGTGCTTGGAAAGTTTGTTGCATCTGAGTATAGAATAATATACTATATCATCTTATTGTCTACACGGAAATCTAGGCTTTCTTACCCTAAATGCCCTCTTGAATGATTTGAAAATACACATAACAATGTAAGAACAATTTGTTTACCTAAATGATTGAATTTGTTACATTCTGAGAATAAGTAATTTGAATAAAGAACTGGACATAAAATCTACAGCAAAAAACTACGTTAAAGCAATTGTCTTTTGCAAATCAGAAATTTAGTTAAACATTTTATAAAAAATGTAAACATGCTATGAAAATATTTATCACATACTAACATTTTATTAGGGAACTAATAAATATTCAAACATCACAAGTCACAGATAATAAACAAAATCAAAACATGTTCACTTATATGCAATACATAAATAATTTTAAAATGAATATAATTCACATGTATTCCCATAAAAGAAAAAGAGGAATTAAATGTTATAGTATTTTTCAGAGTTAGGAAATTTGTCGGAGCAATAGTCCAAGTCGCGCTGCAATCTTTCTTGAATTGCATGCTTCATATGTTCATTAAATGAAGATTGCAATGATGGATCTTTAGAAACATCTGCCTTCACTTCTTCCATACTAGTTCGTGGTTTGACATCAGCACTTGATATGGCTTGAAGAAGCATATCGGACAATGCGCTTTGAGAATGTTCCAATAGTGCCGGAGTATCATTGGACATTATCTTGAAAAACAAAGATAGCAATACTTATTTACACGCATTATTACAACAATACGTATTAACATGAATGCATTACAAATTTTCTTTTTTTAATTTTTAAGAAAAATATTGTATACAGGGTATCTGCTACGTTTTAGATTTTCAAATTCATGACATATCATGATTTTCCAAGACTAATTCCAAGAATTTTTCATGACTTAACGAAGTTACTATTTATTCCGACAAAAACGCAAAAATAAATTTAAAAAAGCATTATAATAACATTAATTGAAATGATAGGTATAACCAAAACTGTTATACTCTGCATCTTCATATTTATAGATTTTAAATTTAAAAAACAGAGTAAAGAAAGAGTTAAAACAATAATATAGCTGAAAAAAATACAAAAGCAAAAATTTTTCTTCTTCTGCAGAATTATATTCTAAAGATACTTTCTTGTTCATCAGAAAGGAAAGAAATACTCCTGATTTTTCTGTTCTCATTTCAGAATAAAAAAAAACTCAGCAAAGACTAGTTTGCTTCAACTATAATTTTAAATTTATAAAATTAAAAAAAATAATAAAAATTCTTACATCACAGAAGTCTAAAAGATAATTCGCTCTAGAAATGATGTTTTTTTTCTTCATTTTTTGAAAGAACACCATAATTTTTTAAGAACATGATAAAATCATTTTATATTCTAATAAAATATGATTGAGTGGTAATTTTATTAGGAATTTAGATATTTGGAACAAGATGAAATTGGGGGAGGGGATTCCATTTTAAAACTTAGATTTTTCGGAGACTTTCCATGATTTTTTTAAAAAAATAGTAAAAATCATGACATTTCATGATACGCTTTGTTCAATACTGAAATTCATGACTTTCCAAGTGTGCGGATACCCTATGTATAACTGAATTTCAAATATTTGAAATAGAAAATTTGAAGCAGAAAAGTTTTAATTTTTTTTAGTTAAAATTTTTGTCATATAGTTAACACAAACACATTTGTTAACCCAAAAACTTAGAAACTTAAAACAATTTTATCAAATTTAAATAATCCATTAGATATTGACATATATTCAATAGCAAAACTTATAAAAGGTACATATTATACAGACATTATAAAACTATATTATTTAAGTGATAAAGAAATTATATACACTAAACCTGACTAGTTAATATTTAGCACTTTATTATTTTATATTATATTTTTTATTAAGTTATATCAATTGGTTTAGCAACATTAATGGAAGATAATCAAATTCTAATTGTAACAATAATTTATTTTTTGAAAGATTGGGAAAAAGTATGTTTTAATGTTTGATTTTATCATAATTACAGTGTAAATCAGGTTTGTAATCAATAATCTGAGATAGGTGTTTGCGACTTAATATTGATGAACTTAATATAGAACAGGGGTAACAGTTGCGAAAATTCTCATAACTGGGATTTTTATAATTAAAAGGGGCTTTTAGCTATGTTTTTAGGCAAATAAAAATATTTAATATGATCTTAATAATCTAAAAATTGTTTAACTAATGAATATATATGTATTAAATTGTAGAGAGTAGTTTGCAATTAATTATGATTATGAAATGAAAATTAAATAAAACTTTATTTGTCACAGCTTTTGCCTAATTTAGAGTTTTTTTTAACCCATTTATTTTTTTGATATAAATTTATGATTTTGATTAAATTATATCAAAGAAAAAAAATAGCCCAACTAAAATACTAGTTTTTCTTCTGTTTCATAGACAGTGCAACAGAAACAAGAAAAAGGATTATTTTTCGCCACCAAAAATGATTCGGTTAAAAATTAAGTTCCGGAATTTTTTTTACTCACAACTTCGGAAATTTTATCTTGTTTGACCTCTTTCAGTGTTAGATTTTTAAAAAGATAAAAATTAGTCAAAAGACCGAAAATTTTTATATCTGTGTGTGACACACAAAACAAGAGACCAAATTACAAATTGAGAAAGAAGAAGCGCATTTTTTAATGACTTACTTCAGAGTGAATCTAACTACTTGTGGCAGCAACTTACCTTTTTACTAAGAAAAAGGATTTAACGTAGTATCTTTGATTATCCTGGGCCTTTGGTGTCAAATAATGCAGGCTCAACTTTACAGTATATATATACATTATTAATCTAGAGAAAAATGTTACAAGCTCTTAACAGATAACTTTTTACTCACCTTTCTACGTTTGGAAGGCATGCCACTTAAGTAGGCATTACTAAATGGTGCTTGAGGAGCTTGTCTTCGTTGACGTTGGACATCTCTTGCAATAATTGGTACCCAATCCTGTAAAATAGTTTATTTTGATTATCATAAGGGACAAGTCACAAAATAAAAATTATATAAATTAGATTCTACAGTATTTTCATAGGCTGCCTAAATTGAATAGTCAAAATTAAAATCTTTTTGTAGTTATACAGTGGTTCAAAGATATGTAATCGGGCAAAAAGAAGAAAAAAAATTAATATACGGTGAAAAATCATAAAAAAGTGGAATATTGTGGAAGAATTCTATGTCTGTAATAATTAAACATATATGGTAGTTACTAATTTAAAAAAATATTTAAACACAATTAAAATATTGTAAACATAACTGAAAAATATTGCAGATTTAAAAATTTGCATACTAGTAATTTTAGGAAGAAAAAAAGTACCTATGTGCAGGCTGTACTCACAAAAAGTATGGCCGAAATTTATTATTATTATTGTAATTTCATATTAATAAATAATCTGATATTGGTTGCTCTTTCAGAATAATTTTTGCTTGCAAACATTATTTTTAAACATATCAATACTGATTGGGAAACTTTTTTTGCAAAACTCACAGAAAATGAAATCACCATATAGTAGTCTTTCTCCCAGAAATTACTGTAAGAGTTAATTCAATATATTATAAAGGAATCGAAGGAAATAAAAATAAAAATATGACCACTGAAGCCGACGTCTTCAGGGGGTACCGGCCCCGGTGACCATAAAACAAAACCATTTCAATTGAGGGAGAAGCAAATGCCTAAATTAACTCCCTCAGTACCCCAATGGTTTTGTATAAAGAACCATTTTGTATAAAGAATAGTTTTGTATAAAGAACCATAGTCAGAAAGTAGAAAAGCGGAAATCCAAGAATGAATATATATATATATATACACACACAAATTTGACAAAAAGAGTGAGATCTTTAAACTTGTAAACCATGTGATAATAAATCCTGATGATTAGTTTTAAAATTGTATGAATATATAAATATTAATCACATGCCTTAATTTTAAATTGAGAGAATATGAATCCCGATATGAGGCTTTTAAATCACGCGAATATGAAAATCTATACAGAATTTTAAAATATGCAGAAATACAAATCATGATGCATAATTTCTAGAGCACGTAAAGACGAATCACGATGCATAATTTTCAAATCGCGCAAATACAAATCACAATGTCTAATTTTTAAAGCACGTTTAAGTACGAAAATCGATGTTTGATTTTACAACCGCGAAAACGTATCAAATCATAGAATTTTAAGCTCGCATGAATACGAATCGCTACATAGGGTTTTAAAAGCGCGTAAATACAAATCGCTATATTGGATTTCATATAAATACGAAAATCGATGTTTCATATTACAACCGCAAAAACGTATTACGACATAGAATTTTAAGCTCGCATGAATACGAATCACTACATAGGGTTTTAAAAAGCGTAAATACAAATTACTATATTGGATAGGATTTCGTATAAATACGAAAAGCGATGTTTGAAATTAAAACCGCAAAAACGAGTCACGACATAGGATTTTAAGCTCGCGTGAATACAAATCGCTACTTAGGGTTTTAAAAGCGCGTAAATACAAATCGCTATATTGGATTTTTAAATCTCGTAAATAAGAATCGCAATGTACGATATTTAAATCTCCTGAATAAGACTCGCAACGTCCAACTTTTAAATCAGGCAAATACGAGAAGCGATGTTTGATAATAAAATTGAAAATCTTATTTTCTGTGAAGAGAAAATAGTTAAAATAAGTAAAAATACGGAAGGGTTAGCAGCTAGGATGTAGTTTGAATTTTTTGTTTATCTTTGAAAATCGTAAATAAATATGATTATTTTATTTTAACGATTGAATTTTCAAAAAAAAAAAAAAAAAAAAAAAAAAAAAAAAAAAAAAAAAGAAAAAAANAAAACGAAACATTTAGAGAATTAAGAGTTTTTGATAAAAAGGCTGAAATTCGAAAGGCAAAAGCGAAAAAATCTCATCCCTGTATAAAGGTCAAACAGTTTTATCCCAAGGAAATGATTTTTTGAGAAAGTTCAGAGGGAGGACTTCAATGCTTTCGTTCCGTGGAAAATTAAATTCCTCATAAAATATTTTAACTTGTTCAAAAAAATTTCCGCGGAAATTAGCGGGAAAAAGGGAAAAATCTAAAAAAAAGCGGAAATCCGCGGAAGAATCTCATCTCTGTGTATAGAAGTCCAGGAAAAAAACATGAAATACAAATAACCAATTTAGAAAAGAAACTCAAACAAAATCATCAGAAAATAAAAACTCACTTAACCAGGTCAAACAGCGATTTCACAAGCAAGCCGAATGAAAAGGAAACACTAAAAACTAAAGAAAACAACTCCCTCTATTACAATGCGCAGATAGAAAATAAAAGAAGCCAAGAAAAAGATACGTAACAAATTAATGCAAATCTTGAAAATGAACAAAAAAAAAACTTGACTTCTTTTATTTTCTATCTGCGCATTGTAATAGAGGGAGTTGTTTTCTTTAGTTTTTCCTTTTCATTCGGCTTGCTTGTGAAATCGCTGTTTGACCTGGTTAAGTGAGTTTTTATTTTCTGATGATTTTGTATGAGTTTCTTTTCTAAATTGGTTATTTGTATTTCATGTTTTTTTCCTGGACTTCTATACAAAACCATCGGGGTACTGAGGGAGTTAATTTAGGCATTTGCTTCTCCCTCAATCGAAATGGTTTTGTTTTATGGCTACCGGGGCCGGTACCCCCTGAAGACGTCGGCTTCAGTGGTCATATATTTTTTTTATTTTCTTCGTTTCCTTTATTGCTACTTTTTTAGAAATTTTTGCTGCTCTTTAGCGCTTTTTTTTCAAAGAAGTTTTATCTATTTGGAATTTAAAATTTTCTTTTGTTTTCTTTTAGTATTCAATATTTTATGGCTTTTTAAGTCATGATTATAATAAAAATACTTATTTTTTTGAAAATTTTAAATCTTAAAGTTTTTTTTCCTCATTAATATAAAAATAGTAAATTGGCATGAGGGAAAAATAAGAAAGTAAAAAAACCGAAAATGAGAAAACCAAAGTAGTGAAAAATTTTTTGCCAACGACATTTATATACTAACTTACATATCACCCAACGATGGCCAAACACATAGCTCTGTTTACAGGGCCTTGATGACCATGGTAGGAATACCATGTAATTTTGATCTGGTCAGATGACATGGGTTGCGCCTGAGCTTGCATTCCTGTCTCTAGACTTCCATATAACAACCAACTGCAGAACTTACAGTCGAGGCAGATTTAACGTTTAAGCACACTGACAGCCTGGATCAAACTCAAAACCCCTAGCTCTTCACCTATGGTAAGAGCAATGTCTTAATAGACTGCTCAATGACCAAACTAACACTTTCCAAACTGTCTGAGAGTAACTGGTCTTTTTACCTTCCCAAACAGTGCATTAAATACACAAAAATCTCTTGCTTTATTTGGTTTCCTAGCATTCACTTTTGAGGAGGCTGTCAATGAACAACTAGTTGATTTTTAATTTTGTGACATAATGAAGTTAACTTTGTGATCGAGCCTAAAGCCAAAATGTAAACATTTATTTCAACATTGTAAGAAATTTAAACAAATACTGGTTTTGAAGAGTACTTGTTTCTCTGCAAGAAAGGCTTGCTACGTAACAGAACCAGTTGAACTTTTTTCTTGGCTTTCAATAACAAAAGCTGAGACAAAGAGAAACAGTCAAGCTCAATCCAATTACAGTGGTCTATTCCTTCAACTTAATTATTTTATATTTTAAGAATTGAAATTGAAAAATACAAACTTTACCTTGCTATATTTGAAATAAAAAATGAACTTAAACTGGAAATTTCTTTTAAAAAAATAAGTAACAAGTTACTTGTGGTATAGAGCTGGCCCATGAATCAGGCCGGATCGAAACCAGATTGACACCGGTAGGGCGGCTGTCATTATTTCGATTATTTCCTCTCAGTAAAGCAGTGGTTTGTTCAGCAATGCGAGCAAATGCTGCCAGAGCTGGAGCTGCTCCATCTTCTGAACCTTCTGTAAAAGCACCCCTTGGAAGATTTCTATTTGAAAAAATATCTCCGGTTGATTCAACCTGCAAAACAGATCATCAAGAGAAAAATATATAAATGTGAATGTAGTTTAAAACTCATCTTTACAAATTAGGTAAAATTAACTGTTAATTACATTGTGAAAGTTTCTATTAATTTCTATAGTTTGGATAAAAATGAGCAAATTCAGTCAAAAATTTTCTTTTCAACATCTCAGAAACTTTTTTTTTTACATACACGAAAGATAAATTATAATTTGCATATGTTTAATTATAAGAAAAGGGATGCACAACCCTTTTAGGATAGTGAGCCTAATGTAAACTAGAAGGGTAAATAGGATAGGGAATTAACATAAAGTAATAGTAAAAAATGCAAGCTGTATTTAGGACTAGGATCATTACTTAAACAGAAAAATAAAATTCTCTGACTTCTCCAGATTTTTCAGATATGCGTTTAAGAAACTTCAGTCTAACATCGCAGAATGTACTGACAGTGTCATGGTCAAAATATACGGTGAATCACAAAAAATTAATATATGTAATTTATATTGTATATTTTATTTAAATTAAAAAATATAACACCACAATACAAGAAAAAATTGGCATTAAAGACAATAGAAATATTATATAAAAGAGAAAAAAATATTTAAAAAAAAATCACATGGTGTCCCACTTAACCAAAACAGGAAACTATTATTTTAATTTTGCAATTATGGAGTCAATTGCAGAAACTATGAAATACCCCTATTTAATTTTGTACTCCTGTTAAATTTTATATATTGCACTCAATATCTAAATTCGAACATCATAATAACACCACATTAAAAATATCTGAATTAGAAAAATTATGCTAAAGGAGTAAAAAATAACTAAATGCGGCTGACCTATCACCAAACAATGCAAAATTACAATGGAATCGTCACGAATTGAGTGCTTCGAAAAAAGTGAGAGTTCGAATTCAAAAACATACATTTACATGGTTGCCAAATGTGAATTCTCTTTGTGGTGGCCTTTCACTGCTTTCAGCTTTCTTCTCATCTTTTTTCTTATTAGCATCAGTACTACTAGAAGGAGCCGGTTCAGAACTATCACTGGATGTAGACATAGCATTTCTCGAACCAGATGTAAGTCTATAGAGTGAAGAGAAGATAAGCACTCGCACTACAGACTGATAAGCAGGATCAACCAACTGGGATAAAGGTTCCTAGAAAAATAATTTGCAATTAAATAATTTTTCTAAATAATAACTACCACGTTAGATTATTTTAAAATATAGAATATATAAAATTTGTTATAAAGATATCTGAAAAATCAAATAGTTCTCTAAAAGAAAAATTATTTTCAGTAGCCTGCAATGAAGCATGAAATGTATGAAAATATTTAGCTCATTTTAACTATGAAATTAATTTTTGTAATGCATATTTACTGTTAATAATCATGATTTTGATTTGATGTTTATCCTAATCACAAGCATTTATGTAAGTCTATCACAATAATCACAAGCATAATGCATTTTTCATGTTTTTTAAAATGTAGAATTCGCACAATTGATACCAAGTAATATACACATACATAATAGATTTTAGCAGTTATTTAAAATTTTATTATTTTCAATGGGGTTTAATTTCTTTTATAAAATGCTAGAAAAACAAAAGCAATAGTATTATATTTAATTAACTACTGTGTACGATTGAAACTGTAATGTAATCCTAAAGCAGAAGGAAATATGAAGTTAAGTAAAGCTAAGAATTTGAAATCTGGTGTTAGAAAGGTGAAGAAAAGCCGAAACTAGTTTTTTTTTTTTTTTAAATAATTTATTTTAAAGTTTATTTTTAAAGAGTCCATATTACTGAATAATACATTAAAAAATAATCTATAAAAATAAATGCAAACTGAGGAATTTCTTTGTATAGTATATTAACAGATTGTATCGTATATCTTACCAGTTGTCTTCTTAATACACGCTCAAGAGCAATTACATCAAGATTCGAATATCTTGAATTTAATTGAAGGAATTTCTCAAAGAGTTCTCTACAAGTTCTAGCAACATGTTGTCCATACGTTGTGCCAGAAGGTATGTCTACAAATTAGAAATATAAACTACTTAAAATATTATTAAATGCTTAATAACTTTTAAAAAGACTTATTTCTTTTGGAAAAATTAAATCAATATACAATATAAATTTATAATTAAATCAAAAATAATTATAGTAAGTATAACACTTAATTCTAACATAGCACATAGCATACTTTTATAAGCTAATTTTACTAGTTAAAAATGATATATTTATACATTTATATTGATGCACAGTAACCATACTTCCTAAATTTTGATTATTAAAAATATTTCTTTTGTGAACACGAAGAATGCTTGGTTCTACACAAAAAATTTAATTATTTTATTTTAAACAGTTTAAATTTAATTATAACAATTTAAAATGTTTCAGGGATGTGATTGACAAAAACACAAAAAAGAGGAAGTTTATAACTGTAGCATTAAACGTGCAAAAAAAAAAAAAAAATGATATGAATTCAATAGCCAATCGGATAATGATTACATTATNCTCCCCAAAAGTTTTTGGAACATGGTCGGAAATTTTAAAAAGTCTTTCATCCCTGAAAAGATGAGAGTAGTGGAGTAGGAGACTGCATTGTTTTACCAAAGTCAACCACTGTAACCCCAGCCAGCAGATTGACATGTGAAGAAAGGTTTATTGGGGGATTCAATACTTTCGCTCCGCGGGAGAAAAATTTTTTCTACAAAATATCATTTACTGCATAAAAATTTTTTACGCGAGGAAATTTATGAAAAAAGAGCGGAAGATATGGAAAAAAGCGGAAATCAGCGGATCCGCGGAAGAATCACATCCCTGAATGTTTGATAAAAAAAATAATACAGGAGCATGGCATAAAGTCAATTTAATAAAAACAAAAACTAAATTTAGTGTAATTTTTATTTTTATGAAATACCTAAAAATTCAGATAGCATATATTTTGAGCCCTTAAATTAAAATTTTAAACTACATAAATATAAATGTTGAACGAAAAAAAAAAAGGTTTGAAATTAAAATGGAAAGGAATAAGGATTTAAAAATATATATATCTCATTTTTTTTAGTTCTCAAAACAATGTACTAATCAAAAATCGGGAAAATAATTAAAAAAAAAAAGTTTTGATGTATGGGAGCCAGAAAGTAAAAATACAGGGAATTAATCATAATCCATATCTTAACTGAATAATTAAAGGATTGAAACTGTAAAAAAAAAATTGTTTCAAAACATTTTTCTTTTGATTGAAAGACAAAATTTCGAAAGAATTTTTAACAAATTCATAAATAATAATGTGACAAACAAGAATTAATACATTTAAATACATATAACACATGATTATATATCTTCTTACCAGAACGACCAAGCAATGCATCGAATACTTTGTGAATATTCTCCCGTATAAGTGCTTTAAAAGCTGTAACATAGCTTGCACATTCATTCTCAGCAACTTCTGCTTGCAGCTAAATAAAATAACATTCAAATAAAAAAATTGTGCAACTCAGTTTAAATAATTTTTAAATTTTATAACAGCTAAATGCATACCTGCTAACTGCTGAAGATTTTACTTTTACATTTAATGTTATAGAAATTTTTTTTCCATTTATACTTGATTCTTGCATAACAAATTTAATTGAAATTTATTTTAACAACCATTCCATTTGAAGAGTTTGAATGTACAATGCGCAAAAAAAGAACTACCCTAAATAACTTTTGATCTAATGATTGGATTTTCACTTACTAAAATTCATTCTTAATGGTTCGAGGGTGAGGGGACCTCATATATGCTAATTAATTAGTGCAGAGGATATTTTAAGTCAGGAAATCGGAAAAAACCCTACTTTCTCTAAATAAACATCCTCCTTTTTCGACGGATTCAGATTTCTTATCCCCGAAATAAAGGAGATAGTAACAATCTGGGAAACATGGTTCTAATAGTTTGGTTTGATGAGCAGTTCAAAGTTTGGACCTGCTAATGTTAAATTTTTTGCACAATCTGGGAAATATGGTCCTAATGGTTTGGTGAGCAGTTCAAAGTTTGGACCTGTTAATGTTAATTTAACTTTTTGCATATTTCGTCGTCTCGAGAATTCCTTAATCGAACTGAAACATTTTTGTACACAATCATTTATTATTATTTTATTTAATGATAGACGAAATTTTTTTTTAATTATAAGGCTTACAAATTTTTACATTATTTTAAAGAATGTAATCTTCTTTGTCAAAATGCAAAATCTAAATGAAATTGGTCAAATAGTTCCTGAGAAATCAAATTTTAAAGAAGTTGTATGTTTAAAATTAGATTTCTTGGGAATTTATTTATTTATTTAACCAATTGTATTTAAATCTTGCATTTTGACACATAAAAAAATATTTTTTAGAATGATGTAAAAATTTATATACCTTGCAATTAAGAAATTCCTTTGTCTATTTTAAATAAAATAAATCTTTGAACAAATTTTATAATTTAATGCAAAAAATTTTCAGTTAGTCAAAAAATTCCCGAGATGTTGCAAACTATGCAAAAAGTAAAATAAACATTACAAGGTTCAAGCTTTGGACCACTTCCCTAACCAAAGTATTAGGACTCTATTTCCTATATTATTAGAACTGTATTTTAAGGGTTAGGAATCCAAATCTGTCAAAAGCAGGGCATTATCATGTCTGATTTTGAAACTTAAAATATCATCTGCACTAATTAATTAGCTTATTTGAGGTCACCCACTCAAACCATTAAGATTGAGTTCCAGCGGAGAAAATCCAATCATTAGATGAAAATTCAAGTTTTTTTTTCTTATTTTTTTTTACGAGCTGAAAATTAGGCCGAATAGCAATTTTTAATATAATTTTTACTTTTGAAACTTTATTAAAGTCAATACAAGATATTTTTTAAATATCTATTGAAAGTTATTATTCAAAAGTGTCTTCAATTTATTTTTGTGAAAAATATAGATTCAACGTTTGCCTATATTCAGTTATTAAGGAATAACATCCTTAAAAAGAAAACAGATCATATTGTACACTTTTGCTATTTTGATGATTAAAGATGCTTTTGAAATTACACATCACATATTTTCATCTAGGAGTATAATAGTCTCGAAGGATAAGCTTTTGATGGGCTTTAAGATTCAAGTTTTTTAGTTGATAGTTAACTAAGAGCAGAAAATAATTTAAAATTTAGTACAAGTATGATTTTAAAATAAAAAGTTGCAGAGAAGGTAATAAAATAATAAGATGCAAACTTACCAAGAAATTCAACATTTTCAATTCTTCATTAGCTAAAATTGCTTGCACAACTGCATCATAATCAGAAGGCTGTGGATTCTCAGTTTTAAACACATTTTCACGCAAATAATTCTGCAGGGGAATTCGAATTCTGGTGATGGATTCAAAATCACCAGATCCAATGTCTACAACATCTTGAAATGTTAACTTGCTAGCCAGGAAACAGAAGAAACTGCCAAGCAAATCTGTCAAATATAATTGGAAAAAAAAATTAATTCCAAAGAAAAAAAAATTATGTACATAATTCAAACAATTTATTTTGAACATTCAACATTAAATGGTAAAATAAAATCAAAACATACTATAATTGATTGTTACCCTTTTTCTTTAAATACTTTTTTTTTACCATGAATATTTCAGGAATTGCATTGTAATTTGTGAAATCAAAAACACTATTGTATTTCAAATTTTCACATAAAAATTCTTTATGTACAATCGGCAAGAATAAAATCTTGTTGCCCTTACTAGGATGAAAAAAGCGCTTCAAACTAAAGAAAATACAGGGATTACTTTTGAAGCAGATGTCCTTTAGTAGGGCAACTGCGCTGCAGATTATTCGAACATCTGCCGATTATTTTTCATCACGGATTTAAAAATACGTACACTCCTAAAATATTACTGAGAGGTAAAACAGTAAAATCATTTTTAATTTCTAAACTTACTTAATCACTATTTCTTACATTTGCCAATCTGTAGATAAGTAAGCTAAAGCAAAGTCTTCAAAAAATTAAAATTAATTAATAATTAAAAATAAAATTAATTAAAAATAATTTAAAATAAAATTAATTAAAAAATTTTAAAAGAAAAAAATTAAATTCGTAATTTTTAAAAATCTTAGCATATTCCTCAGTCTTAATATATTGTATAGGGATTTCAGTTTTTTAAATTTCAATTAATATTCATTAAAAAGTGTATAAATTAGGGGTGCACAACCTGCAACCCGCGGGCCAAATGCGGCCCTTCGATTACTGAAGTGCGGCCCGTGAGAGCTTCTAAGCACAATAAAAAAAATTTAAAAAATGGTAATTTTTAATCGCACTTTTAAGTCATCACGTTTAACGCGCTTTCATTAAGCCGATTTTATCGTAAATATAAATGATTTTTTTAAACAGTTATTTCCGCTTTTCTACGTGATTTCGAAAATCCCGAATTTTTATTACGACGAGAGTTTCAGATCGGCCATTTAAATAATCACTTTTTGGTGAATTTTATTTGTGACGATTTCATCTTAAATCTAAGTGATTTTTTATCTTTTTTTTTTGGCAATTCTTTCTTTTTTCCGGAAGTTATTGCTATGCGTTCCCACGTATCATAAAAAATTCCAAGTATTCAATTACGACATGCAAATTTTAAATCGTGCATTTGACACGCTTTATTCGTGCTGAGTTCAGCATAAATATAGGTAATTTTCCCCCCAATTATTTCTATATTCACATGATTTTGACGATCCCGTTATTTAACTATGATGTTATTACGACACGTGATTGTTAATTGCACAATTAAATAATCACTTTTTGAGATGGTATTTCGGTGCAGTTTTATCGTAAATCCTAGTTATTTTTCCTTCGTTTTTTTCCGCAACGAATGTGATTTGAACGAATGTGGTAATGAATTGTGATTTGGTCAAAAACCCAAATATTCAGCAAAAAAAAAGAAGAAAAAAAAAAATCGACTGAATGCCGTACACTTGGGGCCAAATAGCAAAATCTTTTAGCAGCATAGCAACACTGAAACTAAAATTTCAATGCTCAGAATAATATTTCCTGGAAAAACGTATTCATAAATTAACTCTAAAAAATAAGGCCAATTAAGAACGTTTTTGAAAATGTCGAAAAGCGAAACAGAGAACATAAAAATCAATCTTAATTTTGGAAAGAAAATTTTAAAGCTGAACATCTCAGTTTTCCAATTACCAGAAAAAGCCAAGAAAAAAGAATTAAGTCAACAGAAATGCTATTAAAAATTACTGCATTATAATAAAAACGTCTAAAAATTTTTTATTTTATTTAAAGAAAATAAAAAGTTAGAAAAATGTTATTAATTTTTTAAATGAAAATCTTATGCTGAAAATCGCAATTTAAAATTTTCTCATTGCCATAATTTTAGAAGAAGAAAAATTGGTATAAAATAACTTTTATTAGTAACTTAATTTTTAAAAAAATGCCGAGTCATAATGAAAATGCCTAAAATTGAAAAACAGAATTTTTTTTTTCTTCTTAGTTCCAGAAACAAAACTTTAATACTGAAAATCAGGCTTTTCTATGCTACTGGGTTATTTATATTACAGTACAGGGAAAGAGTGATAATAAATTAATACTATGAGACGTTCTGTTAAAATGCTGGGTTATAATAAAAAACAGCAAAAAATGGAAAAAAATCCTTCTGAATTTTCAAAGTATCGAAAAAATGACATAATTGACTTGTCTGATTATAATTTTTTTTTTTAAAAAAAAGTAATATCTATAAAAATTCCAAAATAAAAAAAAACTTAGAAAAATACATTTCTAAAAAATATTCTGCCGAATATTTGACTGATCATTCAACCAACTGAATTTTTCACAGAAGGGCCAAATACTCGTTACATCCCTAATTTAAATGCAATGTTATTGCAACTTGAGAAATTCATAAAATGGCGGAAAACGTGAATTTTTAAACTGCTCACTGTTTGTAGTTTAGATTTCAATTTTTTGTTGCTTAAGTGATCTTTTTCGATAAAAAAAAGGAAAATGTTTACGATATAAAAAATCTAATAATTAATAAAATAAAATAATAAAGTACATTACAAAATAAGCATTGAATTTTATTTTGAACTATCACAGTTTTGTTTTTATTTTAGGCTTTTGTTTAAAACCTATAAATTTTCTTCAATTAAAATATTTAATTTGAATTTATATTACTTAATTACGACTAAACTTTTTCCTACTTTCATTCTGTGGGCATTGCAGTTTTTTTTTATTTATTAGAATTTATGAGGCGTATCCAAAAAATAAGTTTCTCTATTTTTTTTTAAACAAAAGAACTCATACTTTCAGGAACATATTTTTTGGCAACAAGTACAGCAATGTTTAAGCTATTTTTCAACATAGCAACATAAAATTGAGACACTTGTATCATGGGTTCAACTTTTGTATCCCTCTGTCGTAAAACTCTGCCGCCTGTGAATGGAACCACGTTGTGAAACAGTAAGCGCTGACCGTTACTGTGAAACACTGCTGAAATTGCGACGTGCCATTCAAAACAAGAGGCGTGGAATGCTTACTGCAGGTGTTGTGCTCCTCCATGACAATGCTCTTTTACATACGGCTCGACGCACAGCAGCTGTTTTGACGAAATTTAGCTGGGAGCTGTTTGATCATCCACCTACAGCCCTGATCTTGCTCCGAACGTTTTTCATGTCTTTTTGCACCTCAAAAAATTCCTGTCCTCCGGTGAGCGTTTTGGCAACGACAAAGAGCTGAAGACGTCTGTCACACTCTGGTTCCATTTACAGATGGCAGAGTTCTACGACAGAGTGATACAAAAGTTGATCCCACGATACGACAAGGGTCTCAATTCTGGTGGTGGCTATGTTGAAAAATAGCTGAAGCATTGCTGTACTTGTTGTCAATAAATATGCTCCTGAAAGTACGAGCTCTTTTTTTAAAAAAAAAATAAGGAAACTTATTTTCTGGATGTGCCTCGTAATTCTAAAATGAATTTTCGTATTGCATGATATGATAAAAAACATTTCTTTTCTTTAACGTTTATTTATTTTGATAAATCTATTGTTCATATGATAAAAATAGCAATTTTTTTTGTAAAAAAAAAGTATAAATTTTTTATATTTTTGAATGAATTCTAAAAATAGAACACCTTTAATTTTTTACAAATATATTACTAAGTTTATTGATGAAAAAATAGAATGCTAATGTTTAAATAAACATTACTACATTTGTCATTAACCTCTTAACTGCCGAGTAAAATTTATGTGATTCACTCCCCAGTGCCACCGTTTTTCGCTCAAGTGAACTTTCTTACGCGGTGTTTTGGTGGGGTAAAATGATGCACGTGTTGCAATTTAAAAACAGTTTACTTTTACAAGACAAGAAAAAGGAAAGAAAGAAAATACAAAATTTAAATTAAATAATAAAAATACAATATAAAAGATGTTAAAACTTAGCTGTTGTATGATAAATCCTGAAACATGGTTGTATGGCAAACACTTTTCCATAAACCAACATCACATTCATTGCACTGATAGCGGGATTCACGACGAATTTTTTTCTTGAACAAACAGCACATTTTCGCGATGCATTTGAAGACGTTGATGGAAAGAATAAAAAGCACCAAATACACACGGGAAA